GGGCACACACAGACACACACACACACACATACACTCACATACGCACGTTCACACTCACACCACACACACACACACACACACACATACACACACACGCACACACGCACACACACACACACACACACACACACACACACACACACACACACACACCACAGATATTAGCTTTCAGTGAGACTGAGGTCATCAGTACAATAACAGGTTTCGGTAAAGTAATTTTTTTTTAAACGCTCCTGGACGTCTTGTCAAAGGCAAACAACAACAGAAGATTGAATAACATACATTCATCATCATCCAGTGACAGATATGCGACAGGCATCGGCGATCATGATTCTCTATTTATTCCTTAGCTCCGATTTGCATATTTAAAACAACTAGATTATCCTTATCTTTCCCCGTCACCCATCTGTTTAGATTTTTCGAGTAGGTAACCCCTGTCTCGTGTGCCTTCGATTTTGCCTTCGATTTTGCCTTCGATTTTGCCTTCGATTTTGCATGTGAGAGAAAAAAGCATTCAGTTATTGGTAAATTGATAGATTTCACTGACAATTTATAACCTTTCCATCGAACAGCGTTCTCTGTATTATATAAACAAACGTATTTGTGAAAACAGAAAAATAACGATGACAACAAAAATACTGACCGCAAAGACTGGATCTCAAACCGGGATCCCTCCACCGTCCGTAGCGTGCACTCGCAGGTCATGAAATCGCCACTGGCAGAGGCGGTGGGTGTGACAGACGACGGGGAAGAGGGGTAGGAAGGCGAGGAGATGAGCACGCTTCCTTCTTCGTCCCTGCTCACAGAGGAGCAAATGTCTACCTTATGCTTTGCTGAGAGAAAAACGAGGTAAAGTCGAAATGTAAATCGTCCATCATGTGTATCACGTAAGGAATTTTATATATATATATATATATAGTCCCCCTTGCTTTAAATAAGCATTATTAAGCTCCACTTTGTTTCTTAAAAAGTATTGTACTCCGCCTTAATAATAATCAACTTTAATACAAACACATTGCGCCCACAGTTCGTCCAAATTGACGGACAACCCGGGTTTGAATCCGACTGGATCAGGACATCGGGGGTGTAGTGATATTATAATATAGGACCCACCACTTCGTGGTACTGAAAAAAAGACTCGCACTACAGAGATGAATGTACAAGTATCATATTAAGATACAGGTGCAGATTTCTGAGGTTCAGCCTTAGGATCACATAACTGACAAATTTTGGAAAAGGGCGTAAAAACAGCACCTACCAGGCACGCACTCGTAGCTTATAGCGGCATAGTTGACACCCCGGCCACATCGCATCATGTGATGTCGTCTCACTGTGACGTCACACGACCCCGTGATACCCTGGCAATGAATTATCTGCTTAGCTGTGGCCGAGCCTGCTTGACAGCCGGGTCTTGCCTAAATTTTGTGAGGAAAAGAATAATAGATAAATAATTTATTGTTAATTGTACACACCGTTGGTCAGATGTTTAACCTAAATTTGCGCTCGTGTCTTCATGCGAATTAAAGAAATGCACATCAACAAGACAACGGTCATCTGTGACTTTTTGCAGCTGCACTTTGTTAACGCTCAAGAGGGAGGTTTTAACACAGTTGGTGTCGTGCTGGACGGTAGTGCACTTGAATCTGGTTCGAATATCAAAATCAGCATTCTTTTTTTGGGGGTGGGGGGTGGGGGGGGGGTTGGTTTGTTTGTTTTTTGGGAGTGTTCACTCAAGGCTGTCCACCTACTTGGCGAGGTCATACGGCAGGGAGATGGACGCCAAATTCAGAAGTCCCACTTCCTATATAACATGAGAATATTGAATAAAACGAAGAATACCAACGTCTGGGGTGTAGCAGTTAGGCGCTCCGCTGTTACAAGCAGGAGACCTGAGTTCGATTCGATTCCCGAGTGGGAAGAATATTAATTATCGAATATATCGGTCTTTCTGCTGGGAGATCGTATTCCTTCACGCTTTGATAGGCAAGGTCGAAGCCCACCTCCTAAACGATCTAAATTGTGCCGATGGCGGTGTTAACAAACAGCTACATAAAAAAAGAAAAGTTGCCAGCCCATGCTTTAAAAGGTGATTAGGTACAAACTACGGTAACAGTTTCAAATGCGGATCTCTTGGCCCAGTAGTTTTTGCTTGTAAAAAAAAGGGGTTAAAAAGGAAGTTGGAAACAGAGGGAAGACGGAGTGCAGTGCAGTGCAGGGTCAGAAAGTGAATACATGAAACAATGTAATGTAAATATATAAATAATTATAAATAATATAATGTATAGTATCCATATCAGCGTGGATGTACACGTGCCATCACAACAGTAAGGCATCACAGGTCTTTGCGGATGAGCAATTTGTCCATCGGTTTGGGTTTCTTCTTACTAAGGAAGTTTATTTTGAATGTTTTGAAAAGTTCTCAGACACAATAGTTGTCATGTCCTCCTGAAAAGGCCGGGGGATGAGAAAAAGGTAAAATGTCACAGAGAGAGAAGCGAGAGAGAGAGACAGAGAGAGAGAGAGAGAGACAGACAGACAGACAGACAGACAGACAGACAGACAGACAGACAGACAGACAGACAAGACAGACAGACAGACAAGACAGACAGACAGACAGACAGACAGGCGGACGGACAGACAGACAGACGGACAGACAGACAGACAGACATGCAGAGACGGAAAGTCGAGAGGGAAGAGTTGCAATGGAATTATTGGTATCCTTCAACCAACCTGGGGATACATTGAATGGGGTTTATTACATGTTTAGTTAAAACAGACAGTCCGTACTCTTTGTGATAAGACGATGCAACAGGGTGCAATTTTGGTAAAAACACTTTATTTTTTGAAGATACAACAGGATGCAATCTTGGTTTTAAAAAGATTAAATGCTTCATTTTTATCTTCTAAATCGTGTGAGAAAAAGAGCAAGCAGCAGGTCATTTGACACGCTGGTTACGAACTTGAAGTTATTTTTATGATAGGACGTGGGTTGTTGTTTTTTAAAGTTTACAAAAGAAATTATTTTTTTCGTCGGCGGGCAGCAGGCGTAGAAGACAGCTGTGGCCTGCTGACGAGAAAAGCTCCGTTTATAAACAAAATGAAAACTACATCCTATAATGTTATAGTAAAAATAATATCAAATTCGGAACCAGCGTATCAAAATTACTTCAAATGATTCACGGCTGACTCTTACTCTTGCTGGATTTAGAAGATCACAAAATTAATTTTTTGTTTTGTTTTGTTTTTTACCAAGATTGCATCATGTAATATTTTCCTATCGCAAAAAAGGACGGACAGTGTCAGTTTTTAACATGTAGCGGGAACAGAAGGAAGAACGTTTAGTTTTACGCGGCACTTGGAATACAATAAGGCCATATAAGTGTCGAAGATAAGAGATTACGAGAGTAACAAACACACTAAAAGAATGAGGAAAGATAAGGACGATAGATGTTTGATACGAAAGAAAGTGCAAACCACACCAGAGAACCCGCCAACCACCCGCAAGAAAGAAAGAAGAACGTACCGGCCAGCAGTGGGACGTGTCAGAAAACCCCAGAGATACGTTGAGCACATGGATCATGGCCCCTTGAGCGCAGGTCAGTTTGCCGACCAGCGTGCCTGGGCTGTGCCGTGACATACCACGGTTCAACGCCCACGGGGTTCTTTTTCTTCTTCTTTTTCTTCGTCTTTTCTTCTTTGCATCCTCCCACTCTCCTTCCTCATCTAAGAATCTCCCGCCTCTTTGATGCCCCGACATGGCAGTTGGGCTTAGCTGTAAGAAGATGCATAATGTTAAATTAGAGCGCAAAGAATATTATGTTTTCATTCGTTTACGTTTTATGTTTTAGTATGGAGAGTTGCCTCACTTGCAACACAATTAGGTCATAATATAAGTGCCAGAGATTGATAGAGAAACGAACACAAAAAGATGAAAAAAAGATAAGGACGACAGATGTTTGATAGGAAAGAAGGAGCAAACATCTCTTCCATCCTTATCTCTCCTCCGTTTTTGTGTTTGTAATTCTCATGTAATTGGTTTTGTTTTATTATGCCTAATACATAATTCCTTTCAAGGGCGGGCGGGGCTGCTTAATCTTATATAATATCATGTCTGTGGTTTTGGTCGTGTCAATACTTAACCCTGTCCGTACGTCGTGTTTCACTATTGTATCCATACGACGTGGGGAACTCTGTGCCACCACTTTCCAAAGAGGAAATTTATTCGTTAATTCGATCCGTACGCTTTGCATAGCAGTCTGACAAAAAAATTTGAGAGATACTGAAAGTGTCAAAGAAGTCTTCGTACTAGAAGTATTCTAAAATGGGAAGAATAAAACCCCTGGAGCCCAAAATGACCCCAGGGCGTACGGATAGGGTTAAGACAACTGCTGTTGACGCACAATGACACGATTGACCAATCAGAGTAGTCAAGCTCTATAGAATTTTTTACAAACCTGTCTGTCTGGTTTATTTACGAACACTGGGG